CAAAAGAAATGTTACATATTCTTTTATGATTGGATTCTATTGATTTAATTGATTTCATTGAGAATACACAACATTTTTTCATTTCTAATATCAAAAGAAATGTTACATATTCTTTTATGATTGGATTCTATTGATTTAATTGATTTCATTGAGAATACACAACATTTTTTCATTTCTAATATCAAAAGAAATGTTACATATTCTTTTATGATTGGATTCTATTGATTTAATTGATTTCATTGAGAATACACAACATTTTAACAGAGCAAATAAAAAGAGAGGATTGTGAGATTCACGAAAATGCTAAAATTGAAAATAATAAAAGTTTGTATTATATAATCAAGTTTATTGTTCATCAACGATTACATTGATTTTAATTGTTTAGAGTAATTATGTTTTGTATTACTTTTTTAGAATTAATGTTTGAAATATTATTTTATAGAATAGAATAAAGCAATTTATATTGCTATCAATGATATATAATCGTCATTTTCGTTCATATATTTTTATTATATATTATATAAATCACATATATATGTATCTATACAGTATGTATTTCTTTCCGAATTTATTTATTGTGAAACAATGGGTTTCGCCTGGCTGTATTTAGTTGTTGATATATTATTAAAGCTGATCCTGATGACTGAAGAATCGTGTATTATCTCATGAATTATTTTCTCGTGTAATATGAATGTATATATTAATTTTTAATTATATAATTAATTATTCTGATCATCACGATTTTTGTCACGTGCTTTATTCTAAATAAACCATTATTATTTATTTAGAAATGAACTGCAAGGATCACCCATTTTTTCATGATATCTTTTTTTGTATTATCCTTTGCCCATCAATTAACTCTATGACGTGAAGCAAAAACTTGAAGCAATAATTCAAGCGATCAAATTAACGTTAAGAATAATTAGAAAAATATTTGTAAAATCATTTGATAAAATAGCCGGACAGTTTTTCAGTTATAATAAAACCTGCGGATTACGCGTTACCGCACCCAATCGGACCATCATAGATTTGCACCAGTGTGATTATTTAGGAGGAAAATAATCTGATCCAAAAGCTTTTAATAATCAAGTTAATAAATTTATGCTTACAAAAACTTTTTTAATTTGCATTAATAAGTACTAGCAACTTCAAAATAAAGGACAACCGTTTAGAACATATTATCGTTTCCTAACGATAATAATAACATGAATAAAATTAAAGAAAATGAGGTCTTCGTTTTAGGAATAACTCAATTTAGAATCTGTGGCGCTAACCCCTGAAGATCTTGTATGGCGTTGTTATATATAAACGTTAATTACATATAATCTCAATTTTTTTTTTTCGGATTTTTCTTTTATAAGAATGTTTGGTTTAAGTTTTAACACTTTTTTTTCTCCGGATTGGGTGAGTTTGTCTATGTTCTATTGGATTTGTACTTTGAAGTACTCTCGGAAATTACAATTAAATTTTTTTTTTTTTTTTTTTTTGAATTTAGGCCGAATTCTTTAGCTCGCTCAGTGTAGCTGACGTGTAAGCAATTTTCTGAAAGTGCAAATTTCTCCAATTTTTTTTAAGAAACATTTGATTATTTTATAGGATTGCTGGAATACCAGCCTTTCTCGTGTTTTACACAGTTCTACCTAGTGCTATATATACAGCGCGACATAGGAGTAGTAAGGGAAATTGGTATGTTCCACCAGAACCTACCGATGAATCACCTTCGATGCAAGCCAAATTGGTTAGTCATTCACGTCATTATTTCAAATTGAAATAGAAATAATATGTATTAAATAAAATTTATTTATTTATTTTTGATTTAAATAGCTATTATTAAATAGTTTGGCAGTTTTATTTTCCGTCAAATATATTGCACAATATATATTTAATCATTCAGGGCCAGAAATTTTTGTGACAGGAGCATTGTTAACTGTAGTGGTAAGTAATTTATCGGTCTGTCAAATAATCTTTTTTGATCCATTTCTAATTTCATCCTTATTTAATGTAGTTAATTACTGTAGTCATATATCATTTTGAGAATATCGGAATTGTAAAACCAGCGATCCCACTATCTGTTTTATGGGGAACCACGACACTCACTACCTTATATTATACAACCTCAACTCATGATATTTCTCACGAAATATATCTCGTGTCTAGCCTGTTAATGTTTATGTTGGAATGGGCTTCTCCAAGGACACCCACGATCAAAGTAAGTTTATATCAAGATAACTTTAATAAAAAAGGAAAATTTGAAAATTCACTTTTTTTTTTTTCATTATTTCATAATGAATAGGCCACCTCTGCGAATCCAGTAACCAGCGTGAATCTCCCCGCAGCTGAATCTACAAAAGTTACAACTGCAGAAGAATCCGAACATTCAAAATCAGAATAATTAATTACTTTCAAACGATTATTATTATCATTATTATTTTATTTATTCTAAAGAAAACCCCGTGTTATTTAACTTGGAATAAACGACACGCTTAGCACTTTTAAATGTAGTTGTTTAAATTACGTTTAAATATTAAGTCAACGTTTTTCCTGCACTTACCTTCCAAGATCAGCATTTTTTTTTTTTTTTATAAAAAAAATTATTGTTACCTGCTTCCAAATAATAAAAAACCTTTACCACCATACATTTAGTAAACTTTTTTAGTGTACTTGTCATACATTAAATAAAGAATCCTGAAGGTAATTTTGCGTCGAACCACGAAGGAATCTCACAACCCAACGCGTTTAATATAATGGAAGCACAATCCATATTAGTAATTTTCTCTTTAAGAACTTTCCATTTATTAAATCCGTTACATTTTAACCCCATGAAAACAAGAGTTTCATCATCAGATTTACCACCATGACCGTGATTAACACCACCATGATCCGTAGTAGCAATGACAAGTGAATCCTCTGACCAACCAGCTGTTTCGATTGCTTTTAAAATTTCACCAATTTGTGAATCCATCATAATCATTTGATTCAAATAATTTTTCGAGCCCCAACCATGAGCGTGACCATGTTCATCAACGTCTACTAAATGAATAAATAAAAATTCCACGTCATTATTTTGAGGGTCAAGTATGTAATTCGTTACTTTTGATACAACGTAAGGATCAAATGATGAATTCGATAAAATTTTTAACTTGATCCATAACCAAAAACGTATGAAAATATTAATCTCCGGTGAATATTTATCCATATTAACGGATAATTCAATTATTCCCGTATTAATTGATCCCCAAGAAACGAATGAAGCTAATTTCCTTTCATCATGATTTTGTTTTAAAAGTTTAAAAATGCTTGGGTACGGACTTTTTTCATCATATGGTTTTAAACCAACCTTATCATTAGTTAAACCATGTTTGCTTGGTATCACCCCGTGAAGTATCGATCCCCAATTTTCCGCACTATTTGTTGGAAATTGAGCTCTAACTTCTGACCCGAGGAACGTAAAACTATCGAGATTTGGTGTGTGAACCTTTTTATAAACGGTACCTAGACCGTCCAATGCCAAAAGTATCACGCGTTTATATGGTGGATTTTTAGTTCTTTTAAGTGGATAATTTTCATTAAATTCCTCAACGATGATTTCATGCATTTCGCTCATCCTTTTTTTTTTTTTTTTTTCTTTCTAGTAACTGAAATTGGGAATCCACGTGTTAAACTTAATTTAGCATTTCGGATTTTAAGAAAACCTTAAAACCCCCGCTTGGCTAGATCTGTGCATCAAAAATTTCCATTTACGTTCGTGTAACTAGTAGACGCATAATAAGATCAACTTTTCTTTTTTAAACGAATGTTTTTTTTTTTTTTTTTTTTTCATCATGAAAGGATTGAACTTTTTGAACTTTAGGAAATTGGGAACAAGCAACAATTTATTTGAAAATATTTTCAAAGTACGTGTTATAATACCTCGACCCTTAACAACAACACCATCAACGACGAAAAATGACGCGAACTTGGTTGATAATCAAGATGATGATGATGATGATGTTTTGAAAACTCATCAAATCCCTGGTAGATACCTTCATTACTTTAAGAAAAGTAAAAGACAGTTAAAGAAAGAAGCTCGTGATGAATCCAAATTTGGGGACAACGCACGTATCTATCTTGTTCATAAATTCATCCCTTCTTCGTGAAATTTTTTTCCTTTCTTTTTTTTTTTTAAAAAAAAAATATGATTTACTCTTTAAAATAATAGATCGTTACTAGAATTTCGGCACGTAAATTACGTTCAAATCATTCAATCACGGAGAGTACTAACAGAATTACTGATTCGAACGATGATGACAATTCTTCGTTAACATTTATTAAAGATTCTTCTAGCACGCAACAGAATATCATTCAAAGATTATCTCGTGCGATAATCAAATGCGATGACAATGTACCTCACAATTATTTAAGTTCCACTTTTGTTCGAATTGTTAATGTATGTTGAAAAAAAAAAAAAATCTATCATGTGTCATATGATATTGTTACGTGATTTTTCATGAAAACTTTTCCAACCTTTCAATATTAGATTAGTGTATCAACCGAATCAAACATCGCTAACATCTGGTGGAAACCCGATCCACAAAAGGGAATTAACGAGGTAGGGTAGGAATAAATCTTCTTTTTGAAATTTTTCATTAATAATTTTTGATTCCTTTTAATACTTGGTTATGATTTTTTTTCAACTGTCAAAAAAAAAAAAGTCAAAAATCGAAAATACAATGAACAAATACTCAATTAAATACCGGAAGATCCTACAAAACGCTTTGCACATGAGGAACCCACCAAAAATAGTTTTTTTACGTTATGATAAAACATTTGGAAATATAAATAAACTTTTAGATAAGATTGAAGAAGAATTAAGATAACAAGGAAATGGAAACTTTATTTAAGTTAAAACATCTAAATCAAGCATATATAATTTTTTTTTTGGTTCGGACAAATTTATTACCCAAACAAATTTTCGGTCAAATCTATGACCAAAATTTATTAAACTTGAAATGCTGAGCCGTGTAACATGCTTATTGTTACACGATAGATATTATATGAATAAATTATTCTACTTCAATTCCTCACTATATATATAATTTGTTTATGACAAAAAAAAAAAAAATTTTTATGAATGTAAAAAAGTAAATAATAAAAATTAGTAATTGATGAAAATTTGATTGCCATAACTAAAAATCTTATGATAATGATTATCTGATAAAAATTTGCTTGCCAAAAATTTTCCACCATTCGACCCTCGCTAAATAGATTTTTTAGATCTATAAATGACACCCTCCTATTAATATTTTAGTAATAGTAATTTTTTTTAAATTCAAGCAGAATTTCAATAAATATTAGAAAATTTTATTCCTTCTTAGATATCGTTGTGACGGCTTAAAAGGTGCCGTTAGAGAAGTGTTCATTAAATATTAATATTATTATTTTTTTTTTTTTATTTTTTTCAGTGGGAGAGGGAATAAAGGTAACTATAATTCATATTATGAATCAAGGAGGTGTTGACGATACAATGAGTCCAGAGGATGACCTATTATTATTATCCACTTCAATAACGCTACTTGGTCTTATAAATGCAATTGGAATTTCCCCCATGATCTCGCCCAGCGAATCATCATTTTCACGACCATTTTCCATATCTCTCATTTCTTTATTTTTTTCTGCATCATTCTTTTCCTCATTATTCACCACAGTCAAAATTGGCGTTGAATCATGATTATCCTGTGTTATTGACCTGTTTCTATCTAAATCCGCTTCTTCTGATATAGGCGTCAATCCATTTTCAGCACTTTCCGCCATCGCCTGTATAGTTGATGATATGAATTGTGATCTTTCTTCAGGTGACAAGTATGGGAATACAAATCCACGTACATCCACATCATTGTCTTCTGCAAGCCGATGTAACAAATCATTGATTTGTGAAGGTCGACTTGAAGGATTCTGATAATATTGTTCTTTATTAAACAAATTCGAGAATGTTAAAAACACGAGAATCGACGTAATAACATCATAGGATTCAATAAAGATGAATAAATACCCATTCGACATAATTTACCAACGAGTCTTGCCAATGCAATTTTAACATTTACTACTCGATCTGATGAAAGTTGCTTTAGATCATTTAAAAAGTACTTTTCAAATTCCTCTTTTGGATAATCTGACGAAATAAGAGCTTTGCAAATCTGTACAAAACTATTAATTAAAAGATATCAATATTGATATAAATACAAGTATAATAAATTGGAAATCATTGCAAATTAAACTTACACTACTCTGCCTCTAAATTTGTTATCAGAGGCGAACTCGCAAATTCGTTTTATCGTTTCCTTATAAACTGACTCATCGCTCCGGACGACTTGAAATAAAGTTGGAAACTACAAAAGAAGAAAGATCTAAGACGTTTTTTCAAATCGAGGAGATTTTGAACTTTATTACTCACACTTGATACAGTCGTTTCTCGAATACTAGCAACCTCGTCCCTGACTGCACGGATAGTTAAAGGCAATATATAATTTATTACATTTTGACAATTAAACAATCTACATAATGCCGGTATTTGCCTTGATAAAATTTGATGGTACAGTATTAAATATTGTACTCATAAGAAACAAATAATTAAATATGTAAATTTAACATATTTACTTGGAAATCTCGTCTCTCAAACGCCATTGATGACTTACTCCATCCCACACGTCATTTAATCTTGGTAAATAATCATTTCGAGTATTTTGTGGCAAACACTCAAAGAAATCTGCAAGATGTTCCAGGAGACCTGATTTGACCTCATCCATATCATTCAAGTAGAATGTAAAAACGGATAGCAAATCTTGATCTGTTTTTATGGGTCCAATTACTTTCGCAATTTCATGAAGTGAACAAGCCAAAGACCTTCGAACTTTGACCTATAATCGATGCAAAAGCATATATTAATTCATAAGTTTGATTAAAGCAAATCCATAATATGATCTATAAAGAGAGAGAAAAAAGGAAATAAAAATTATGATACAATTAGAACCTGCATATCTTTCGTTAAAGCAGCATATGTCTCCTTTAAATCGTCCCACCGACTTTTTCCCAGGGTTAAAACCACAGCTAGGTGGTAAAAGTTTAAATAAAACATTTCAAAATAAACTTTAAAATCCAAATGATATAATAACAAATATAAAATCTTGTATCTCCTAATGCTCACCGGGAAAATTATATGCACATATGACTGGACGTTCTGGATCTCTCTGACCAAGCCCAGTATTATAGGCACTACCAGATAAATTTGCGACACCAACTGTTGTTTCTCTAACAGGCCCCAAACCTAGGAAATGTTGTACCAAGCTTTCGGGTACGTTGTCATCAGGTTGGAAAGTGGCAATTAATTCACCGATAATTTCGCCAGCAGCCGATCGCACACTACGGCTTACATCTCCTGCGAAAAGTTCAATTCCTTTTACAGCTCGCTCGGCTTTCATCTCTTCTGGAAGGCGAGCGCAAATCGTAGGTAAGACTAGGCAGCAGGATCGACGTACGTGCCAAATAGGATCGATTGAGAAATGGTCGTATATGGGTAACTTTTGATATTATTGTTTGCTGAATATCAACAATCTGGTAATAAGTCTAACCAGGAAGCAAAAAAAACAAATAGCTTGCTATTTACCAATTTTGACGTAATTATATCCAAGGGTAAGACTCCAGCTAAATTTCCAACTGCGAGGGCCGCTTCCTGTATAACCGATTTAATTTTTATGAATTAATTATGAATCAATAAAGACCAATTATAGATCATAAGTCCTAAAAAAAAAAACTACTCCACCTTCCGTACATAAAACACTGGTTCATCCGACATTTTATCCAATTCGGGAACAAATAAACGTGCACACCTTTCTGGTCCAACAATGGGTGCAAGGGCTGCTATCAACTATCAATAAAGGATTAAGTATTTTAATTTAATTTTAATTGTGATACTTAAAAAAAAAAAAAAAATGTGAATTATGTTTATCACAACATACTGTCATCATGGTCATTCGCCCCAATTCGGCTTCTTCTTCGCCGCCAGCAACGGCGCCAACACTTGCATCATCATCTGCATCCCATTCGTTTACTTCCTCCCTTTTCGCCTTCTCCTGATCTAACCTACCTATGCCCAAAACGACGCCCTCTAACGTTTCCCTTTCCAACAATTCTTTCTCTTTAGGATTTACATCTGGCTCCTCTAATATCCTCTCGACTAGAGATTGAACGGCTGCCTGAGCTGCCGAAGCAATACTAGTGTTTTGATCGAGAAGAAGTATGTGAAGAAGAGGAGTGAAAGCTGCCGGAGATAAGTATGGTAAATGAGTTTGTGATTGTGCAGGAAGTTGCTGTAATTGCTGCTGTATCGGTGTTTGTGGTCTTTGAGGTGTTTGAGGTCTTTGTGGTGTAAGTGGTCGTTGAGGCGTTTGAGGTCTTTGTGGTGTCATTGGTCGAGAATTTATTGTTGTTCCATTGTCTCCCTGAGCGTTTTCAGGTGTAATATCTCTCAAAGGACAATGCTAATCCACAAATATAAAATGATTCCACTTAGAATGTATTCAAATAATCTGTTTGTAAGCAATAATACATACTGAATAATAAAACCATATAATTTTGTCTAATTCAGGTGCAAATGCCTCACGGACATGATCCTCTAAGTTTGATTAAAAAAAAATAACAAAAAAAAAAAAAAAAAATTAGATACAGTGTATAATAAATTCAAATCCTAATGGGATAATTCATTAATTATATGTCAATAAATAAACCTGGATCAGTTCCCAAAGAGTTCATTAAAGGTAACACGTATTCAACCGCTTCACTAATTTCCACATCTCTTATTAACGAGGGAAGTTCCTTTGCAATGAACACTCTCATAAAGAAAATACACGGAGTAGACCCAGATCGATTCGATTAATTAATTGGAAAAGATAGAAGCAAAATAAATGAATGAATCCAAATTAATATAAACTTACCTATGAAATACCAAATCACTTTTTACATATAAAAATATCTTTTCAAGCGGTGACAGAGAATCATCTAATAGAAGTTCCTCTTCCTCCATTTCTTCCGCCACGTCAGTGAATTGTTGTTCTATGAGGAAATCCAAGAAAAAGAATTGAAACTTTTGTAGATAATCATTTCATAATCTTTAGTGGATATCCTCAGTAGCCATGCATTTAGTAGTAGATTTAATGCAACAGCTTAACGGACGAGTATTCTATCTCATGCAAAACAGTCTCAAGCCACTTAACAAATAATAAATGTTTACCAGGAGAATTCTCTGCCATCGCAGCTAATAGTTCTTCAGAATCCAGATCGTTATTATCATCAAGATTTTCTTCCCTTACCTGAAGGGTTGGGCCTTGGCTTTCTAATCCAAGTTCTAAAGAAATTATTTAAAAGTTGTGTTTTAAATGTTCTTTATGGTATTGTGACAAATACGTAAACAAACTTAAGGAATTCAACAAGTGTAAATGCTAACACTCTTACCCGCCATTACACTTTGTTTAAATACAAATAATTCAGGCAAGATAATAAGAGAATTTCTTTGCGATGGGTAAAACAATTAATTCTTTGCGGTCTCGATGAAAAATCGAGTTTGGTCAATTTTTTTTTTAAAAAAATTTGATGTAATGTGATGTAACGATTTTGGTAAATGGTGTGGCAACGTTTGTGGCTGTTGATACCAAAAAGAGGTTGAATCTTTTTGATCCACATTATATCAAACTCCATTTTTAGCAACTTATACAACTCCAGTTTTTTTACAAGTGGTCAATGCTCTTTAATTTTTGATCGTAGTTATTAAAAATAAATCGTTTTTTAACTAAATACAACAAACAACCGAGCAAATTTTTTTTTTAAAAAAAAAAAAAAAAGAAAAAGGTTGGACATGCATAAAAGAACAAAGGGGACATCGGATATTATAAGCAAGCAACATCTCGATAATCATGAAATTCATTTTTTTTATCTTTTGTTTTTAACCTAACATGACTTAACTTATTTTCCGTCTCATGAGTTTTGGCACCAACCATTCCTAAACCCATTCCCCATTCATTTTTTTGTTTTGTCATACTACTTCTGATTCTCCATAATAAACCTCCAAACCCTCCGAATCCATGATATAATACCGCTTTACGACTGGGTGCGGGTATAATATGTTTTACATGATGTTCTAAAACCAATCCACTTTTAGGGTCAAATTTATACATAAAGATACCTGAAAACGTTGATCGTGGAATTCGCATTCCACGAGAAGATAACATTGATATAAGATAGAAAGACCTGGGCGTGCCCTCAAGTGTCCAACGAATATAAAGTCGGGTGTTTCTATCTGATGGTGGTAACACAGACGTAGAAAAATATGATCCTTTATGTTGACCCTTTGATTTCTTTATATTTCCTCTCATCCGGGTAAAAAATTTATCATTTATCACGCCTTTAAAATAAATATCTTGATCTGATCTATCCTCATCAATGCTATTTTCAACGGTGTGAAGCTTAATTAGTTCTAATGTCAGATCATCAAAATACCATATTAGACTCCATCTCAATAAGTTAGCAATGCCTAAATAAATATGCTTCCCGCGTACGTGAAGACGTGTATGATGAGGATCCGTTAGTAAAATGTTTGGCGAGTAGATCGAAGTGTCAGACAGACCATTTCCAAAAAATAATGGCAATTCGGTTCGTATTGTACGAATTGCTTTGAAATATTAATGAATCGATCAGAAATTCGGGAAGACAAAATCTTTTAAGAATAAAAAAAAAAAAAACTAAGGAGAAAAGAAATATTTCGAATTACCTCTGCCAACATTAAGTGTATATTCATCTGCTCCCTTTGGCTCATTTTCCGTTTCATTCTGATTTAATGATTTTTCATTTTTCGTTGTAAATTTATCGTTTTGAATACTTTCCATTGTATGTTCCAAAGGTATACAAAGATTTTCTTGAGAAGTTCTACCGTCAATTATATTTAACTGTGGTGAAATTGTTGAAAAAAAAGAACTTATGCTTAACAACGACTTCGAATTATTGGCAATTAACTTTGTTTGTAACTTTTTGTGCACACTTGACTCAAAGTTTGTTCTACATATTCGAACATTTGGAGACAATGCCTTTACAATTTTATTTGAATCACCAAATAATGCGCGTATACTTGACACTAATAACATGGTAAAAATTACAAATAAACTTGGATAAATTTCAGGGTATTAGTAATAGATGTGATAATACTTTTGTAGATTACAAAAAGAATTTTGATTGGCTCAGTGATTTGTAAAGTCACGAGATTTTAAATTATGAATTTGATAAAAAAAAAGTTTAATCATTTAATTGATCATTCTTCGCCTGAACCGACTCATCATCATCTGCCTGATCGTTGTAATATTTTTGCCTTTCACCATGTTTCACTATAGCGCTTTCAGGTATGACTCCTTCAGGATTAAGATATCCGTAGTCTCGTCCTGTATGTTGATCAATCGCATTAAGCCAGTTTTGGAAGCTATTTCCCAAATTATTAATAAGAAAATTCCTATTTCAGTATAAAAATTTACGTGCGAATTAAGCAAGAGAATCGAAAATTACGTGTTCTCGGCAAGTTCCTCTTCAAAAATCTTGGAATAAATAAATCTATCTTTAAATTTATCGATTTGACCCTAGGACGCGTTCACATTGAATAATAATTTTATTAAAAATATATATATATATATTTTTTTATTATTATAAGACTATGTAAGAAAATATTAATAATTGATGATGTTACCTGATATATATCATAGTCGATCACCTCTTTTCCTTGATCTTTGGATTTTCTGTTATAAGAATTGAATACAGGCTTATTTTTTTTTTTTAAAAAAAAAAAAAAAAATGTTTACATTAGAATCAAAAATGAAAATTTCGAGTTTATATTAAAATTGTAACTTTTTTTTTTATTTACCCGTTCAAGTAACAAACCTAATGCTGGAGCTTTTGGTATATTTATCTTGACTTGTGTGAATGTATTTGCAATGAGGGAGGTAGGTGTTCTCGTTCTTACGATCATGATTATTAATGCTTTATATCAAAATGAATTGAATTAATAAGAAATTTCATAAATTTATTCGAATCTTGTAAAAAATACTTACAAACCATTTTACGAATTTGATGCAACATAAATGATTGCCCATGTACTTTCAAACTAATCCACTCAGTATCATTAATCATTTTAGGATCACCTACCTAAAAACGTTACGATAATTTTATAGATGGTAATTTAAACTGTAATATGCAAAGTCGAATAAATGATGACGCTTACTTGAAAATTGACAATATATCGATTGCAACTTTTCTCCTGTGGGTTACGACCTATTGTGAAGTTGTGATAGTTATGTGTGCCCTCGTATGCTTTAAATCCTTGTCTCACATACTCCAAAGTTTCTTGTGATATACGATATTTTCGCTTCTCGATCATTTCTTCGGTCGTGGCGAGAGGAAAGTCTGTGAAAACATTAACGTTTTCATTTGACACTACCGAATTGGACTTTTGCTCAGGGGGCATGAACACATAAGTTGGTAACAGATATTCATATATACGGGAATCACATAGAGTCTTTGCGTGAAAAGAGCGAATTACTTTGACGTATCCTATCAAACAATAGTCGAAACTATTAATTTACTTATAAAAAACTTTCTTCAAAAAGTCAATAAATATAATCTATTATTACCCCATATTCGTATTTGATCAGGAAGATTTTCGTTAATCTTCTCGACGATATTAGGAATATCAATAATCATGTAAAAACATCAAATGAAAGAAAAAAGTTTATAAATTTGATTTGATATATTTTAAGGTAATTAATGAAGTATTTACTGAGTAAGAGACTTATCTTAAGTGAAATTAAATTTCCAGCTGCATGAACTCCTTTATCAGTCCTGGCAGCACGCATCAAACTAACCTGTTATCACATTATATCATTCTTAGAAATTTCTAATAAAGCATAACATTTTCGGAGCGAATTAACCTATTACGTACTTTTTTAGGATCATCTGAGTTGTCTTTTGATACAGCACCAGCAGCGACAAAGGCCTTGAAGAGATCATCTTCAATAGTCTTCGCGTTGTGATTGCTACGAGATTTAAAATGTGTCAATTACGATGTAATACGATAAAAGAAATCGCAAATTTCATTGACAAAGTTCCAATTCATCCACATACATTTGCATTCCTTGATAACCAGTCCCACAAAAGCCAACTAAGACGGCAACTTTCTTCTTTGGCATTCTCGGTTCTTTTGGTTCATTCGAATCTTTACCATCACCTTTGCTTTCTAGTAATTCTTTATCATCACGATTGCCTTTCCTATTTATAAAGTTCCTATGACGATGTTCTCTCCTATCTTTAGCTGTGGTAAAACGCTTTTTTGAATGATGCAAATTTTCCGAATTGTCTATCTCACGTTTTAAAGGTGTTACTTCCTCGGTTGAACCAGAAGGAATTGCAATTTGTACTGCTTCCAATTATATACACATTAAATGATTCGAATATTATTAAATATTTAAATTTAGCTACAAAAAAAAAAAAAAATTATCTCTCTCCAATACCATTAATCGACTCTTTCATTAATTTATCCGTTGGTGTTGTCATCGCTGTCAATTTTAAAAGTATGTTTTGATGAATTCTGTCAATATTGCAACCGTTTTGTTGAATAAAACTTCTAAATTTGAAAGAATTTTGCAATGATAGAATATTTATAAATCTTCGGAAAATCATGTTGTGACGTTTATCGACATGCATAATTTTGTAACACCCTATAAAATATCGATATATAAATCGATCAAAAAAATTTTGATTTTCAATTTTCAATTTTGACGGTATAATGGAAATAAACGACACCACTTCTATCAACCGTTCAACTTCAAACTTAAAAATATTACCAATCATAGCTCGCAGGGTATCAGGTAATGTATAAATCCTTTTTTTAATAATAAAATCTTATGAAACTTATTGAATAATAAAAAATTTATTAGGTAAAATATGGAAGCATCCAAAGAAAGCAACTCACCGTTCACAACTAGCGCGCGGTTTGCGTAAAAGTTGGAACGAAAGGTTGAAAGAACGAAACGAAAAACAGGCTTTAAAGATGTTAGAAAAAGAATTGAAGGATGAAAAGGAAGCCGAGAAAAAGGTAATTTAAATCAATTTAGACTAACTGAGTATATGCTATGATAAGTAATCGATTTATCTATTTACTTAGAGAAAACTTGACGCTGCTTTGAAAAGAAAACAAGCACTGGAAGAGAAGGAAAGACAAGAAAAATTAGCTGCTATTGTAAGTCAAATCACTGTAAAACGTTGAATGTTATAAAATACTTGTTCTAACTGTTTGTTTATAGTATTCGGCAAAAAAATTAAAAAGGCTTCAAAAGAAACAAGGGAAAAGAAAATAATTTACGGGGGGATTCGTGATTATTGATGCGAACAATACTATTTTTTTCTATATATTATGTAAGAAAAACATATATAAAAAAAAATTTTTTTTTTTTCGCGATTGATCTCACGTGAATATTAATTAATTAAAAAAGTTTTTTTTATCGGAAATTGTTCATGCTTTTTCTTATTGTTGCCTTAACTTCAAAGTTACACATCCACAACATGTCACACGGACGCGGTTTATCGGCAAAAAGCTATTGCATGTATGAACTATAAAAACGCCTAAAAAAAAAAATTTCGCTCGCCTTTGCTTAATAACAATGTCTTCAAAGTTGATTAAGGACGTACTGGGCAAAAGACCGTATGTCGAAAACGCCGAAATTGAAGACAATAGCCATAATCAAATGCACCCTCGTAACAGATATAAAGATAAACCTCCAGATTTTTCTGTTCTTGCCTTTAAATATTCTTCCTTTTATCCATTGTAAGGATTCTTATATTTTTTATATTTATAATATCCTTGAGGTTAACAAATCTGATCACTCGTTATTTGTATTTATAGTGTACATTATTCTAAAGAAGGTAAACCTTATATTGACTATAAGAATCCAGAGGCAGTTCGGTAAGAAATTATTCCCTCATAACCTTTTTATTAAATTAAATTTTACGAAAGTCAATGAAAATTTTTTTTTTTAGAGAGCTTACATATTGCTTATTACGTGACGATTTTAATCTAGTTCTAGATATCCCCTTAGACACTTTATGTCCTCCGGTAATTAACTTTCTTTGTGATAATTCTTCATTTATGTAAAATGCCTAATTTAGCCATACAATATTCAAATTCTTTCAGATTCCAAGCAGGTACCTTTTTAAATCCAATAATGCTCACTATATTGGAATTCGGTTGTCTCACAATCTATTTGTTTTGAATTAAAGACTGAATTATATCCATTGGATAGAGGATTTAGTATCATCGACAGAATCTCATGAAGATTTGGACCAAAATACTATTTATGGAATCGATATGTAGGTATTTGAATTAATGTTGATTTTTATTTCTTCTGAATTGAAAATCAATATATTCAAGTTGATTTTTAGTGGTACTGGAACGTCGTGTATATATCCATTACTTGGATGTACGTTGAACAAGAACTGGGCATTCTTGGCTACTGGCAAGTATATGAATATAGCTCGCTCAGCATATTTAATAAAACACAACTTATAACACGTAATATAATACAGATATTGATAAAAAGGCTGTTGCATATGCTAAGGAGAATGTGTTGCGAAATAACCTGGATGACAGAATAACAGTACATCAAAACAAGTCAGACAAGAAAATCCTTATGAGCGAGAGCATGATTAGAGACAGCACTCTAAAGTGAATATCATTTTTTCTGCTTATCACTTGTTATCATTTATTTTTATTCTCACATTTTTTCCTTGATTTAGATTTTCATTTTGTATGTGCAATCCACCATTTTATGAGAGTCAGGAACAATACGAGAGAGGTGTAGAGAACAAAAAAGCCAGTCCTCATTCGGTATTAACAAGTTTCTTATTAAAACAATCCACAAAAAGGAGACTCATTAAGCATTTCATTATTGTTTAGGTTTGCACTGGATCATCTAATGAGATGTTCACACCAGGTGGTGAATTTCAATTTATTAAGGATATTCTAGAGGAAAGTTTGACCTTACGTACAAAGATTCGGTATGTAATAATTATAAGCTTTCGATTTGAACTTATTCAACATATCATTAATATTATTAATATTTGATTAAAACTTTGAATTTAGTTGGTATACATCCAAGATGGGACGTTTAGAAACGGTAAATAAAGTAGTTCGTGAACTAAGAAAATCTGGAGTATGTATTTCCTCTTAATAATAGTATTTGAATATATATTTATTAGAATCCAAGCATATATTTATTTTTATTATTATTATTATTATTACCATTACAACTTTTTTAATTTAAGATAGATAATTACGTAATAACTGAATTCTGTCAAGGGCTTACTCGGAGATGGGGGATAGGATGGTCATTTGGAAGTCAACGTCCAACTTCTGTAAGAAAGTGATTTTGAATTTTAAAAAATTAATAACAACAGCTTAATGAAATTAATTTTCGATTGGATTTTTTAGAGTGTCTCGCAACCGACCTCCAAAAAACTTCGGAGGTCAGCACCACCAAAAAACGAATTCTGTGTTGTTTTACCAGCAAACATTGAAGACCTTTTGGAATTTCTACAACAACTTTTCGATGAATTGGAAATTAATGGACGATGGAACGGAGAAGCTAATACATTCTATGGTATTGTACAAATCAATACATGGTCGCGTGCGGCTAGAAGGGCTAAACATTTCAAACCAGATGTAAAGGAACCTCCTATAATGTGGAAGGCACCTGAAAATGAGAATTTATTCGAGTTCACATGTAATATCGAACCTTGGGATGTAAGTACTAGTAATACAAGGGTAACGGTTTCATGGACAAATGGTAAAGACAGGAACATATTTGAATCATTTTATAGTCATATTAAAAAACGGTTAGAGCAAGAATTCTCTGCCGATGAGTAAATTTGAAATCTTTATATAGTTAAATTCTTTCATGTATATTATTGTTACAACATCTGCTAATAAAAGAATGTTATTTTTTGGCGATAAACACTATAAAATATAACCTTCGTTAAAGATACACATTTAAGACCAATTATGTTATAAATCTACTAATAACGCAACTGAGATTTCTTCTGTGTGTATATGGCAAGGTGGATGATGATATAAGGTCAATATATGTGTATTTCAATTCTAGTGATAAGTAAAAATTTTTTTTATAAACAATGTTCATGTGTATTAAACAATGAAGATGTAATATTTATGTAGATCATAATTATTCATAAGGGGATTATGTCACATGAATCACATGCATTAAAAAAAAATTACGTAAGTTTACGGTAGTGACAGTAGTGACGACGCGTACTCGCGTAGCAATTATAATTTAATATATATAGACCAACTCTTCCTCGCAATTTCTCTTTGCTTTGAGTGCGTTTGCGTTTCTTACTTTCAAAAAAAGTTCGTATATGCATTGTCCCCCAACACCATTCTAAAAGTTGAGATCTTCAATGCACATTCCGCATGCCCTTATTCTCGAACACAAAATTTTGCCGTAAAAGTGCCTCGCACAGTTCTCCTATCTCTTTTCCCCAACATGAATGTGAGTTAGAGAGGTTACTCTTCACTCTTCACGACTACGACTAGGCAAGTATAAAAAATTTTGTAAGGTCTATCAGATCCGGAGGAGGGTTTGATTATGTTTCTTCTTTATAGCAATATGAATATAATATCTATGGGATAAGTGATCACTACGAGTACTCTTATGTATGAATTCTTGTTACTATAGTATTCATGCATAATTTCTCACTACGATGTGCTTCTCTAGTGCATTGGTTCTCACTACTACATCTACTACGAGTTCTTTTGTGCATGAGTTCTCATTACTACGAGTTTTTAAGCATGTGTATTTCAAGTTTTCTTACATGAGCAGTACTCACTACGAGTGCTAATCTTTGTAGGGCATTATATTCGTCTGAATTTTGCTTAGATGATCAACATATAATTGATTATCTTAGAACAAATAAATATCAAAGTTGAAGTGTCCTAAGTGTTTTACAATATTTGTCTGTTAATATTAAATACACGAATGACAATATCGAAGAAAATTCTCGGATATTACAACAACAATTAGATGTAACATTACAGGATTCCAATATCTTCAAGTTAGCGCGAGATAAAGCAAATAAACCGGAAGTTCAAGATTTTCTAAGCGTAATGGTGGCTAGTTATATACTAATAACTGCCAATAGGAACAAGAGGAAGAAGAAATACCAGCTCAAGACTAACCTTCTCAAGACAAACCAGAATTTTCACAAGAACTTTCACCACCACTATATACGTTATATGAAAATGATACACAGTTTGTATCATTTATTTCTGTTGTAAAGGATTTGCATTCAATTTTATATATTTATGTATTTTTATTTTATTTTACAGCTATACAATTATTATTTATACTCCTTGTATAATTTCAAAGAATCAATTAATAATCAGAGTAGAATATAATAAATTACAGTCAGATTCCTATATAGTCATCAAGTTGGTTTCATCAAATTTGGTGATTATATAAAGGTGTGACTATATAATAAAACCTTTATATAATCACCTTTATATCATAAATCATGTGAAGTGATTATATAGAGGTAGTTTAATTCGATAGTATAATAGATTAAAATAAAGCATATAAAATTTGATTTTATTAAGAATTATGAAAATTTTATACAATTATCTATTTTTATCCATTTCTCTATATCTAATTGCTAAAAAAATCAGTTATTGAAGTCTGCTTTCTAGCTTGCAATTAAAGTTGTCATATTATATTTAGATATTTTTTTAAAAATATCTAAATCTTCTGTTTTAAATTTATTTGTTGTTTGTTGTTCAAAAAAAGTTATCTAATTTTATAAAAATTTGATTATATCAACGAAAGATACTGATAACGATTCATTGAAATCCTCTTCAGAATCATTATTTTTATCATCATCTACCCTTCTTGAACCAATTTTATGATCTCATCATCATTTAAAAGATCCTCAGTTAGAATTTCTTCTAAATCTTGAAAAAAATCATTAATTGCATTTTTTAATGGAGAAGTACAAGGATCATCAAGTTTATCAACTATTTGATCGATTCTTGCTGTTTTCATATCTATTATCATTTGATGAACCAGTATTACATTATCTATATTTTCATTAGTTGAAGAAGGCAATATTCAGGTTTTATTCTAACAATTACAGATTGTTTCTTCAGTTACATTATGCCACATAGTTACCAAATATTCAATAACTTCTTTGATATTAATTTTCTCTTTATTGATATCTTTATCTTCTTCAAAAAGTTGTAACATATAATGACAATAATATCGTTTATAATGATTTTTAAAACTTGCAATAATCCTGATATCAAAGGTTAAAGGTGGCTTGTGGTATTTAATGATAAAAAGATCACTTTAACATGTATAAGCTGAAGTTGATGAGTATCCAATAGAGTAGAATTGTGTCTTCTTGATCTTAAAACTTGATTTCCTTTAAAAAAAGTACTAATTCAGTAAGTTTTTGTAATTTACTTTTAAATTTAAAAAAAAAAATTAAATTTAACTTACTGCGTCTTCTTAAAGTAAACTTGAAGTAAAACCTAAATCTGAATCTAAGCCTGAAGTATTATCTTCATCTTGCAAATGATATTTCAAGTCAAAGTGTGATGAGGCATTATCAATTAAGAGCAAAATCTTTTTATTTTGTGCTCTAAAATGCCTATCCATATCAAAAAGTATTTCTTCAAATAATCTTGAATTTATCCATGCTTTAGGATTTCCATGGTAGTGAACTGGAAGATAATCTAAATTAATACGTAAGAGAGGTCTTGAACATTTTGATGTACCAATCACCCATGGCTTGAGTTTGTCAGTTTCTGTAGCATTTATATCTAAAAGAACAGTAATTCGCATTTTATCCTTTTTTGACCAAAAATTAGTTTAGTAAAAAGTGTCTAATTCAGAAACATTCTATAATAAAGACCCATAAATTTCATGTAACAAATAAAGTCATAAGATGCTTATTTTTAGGACTATACGGTAATTTTTATCTTTTATCATTTAAACAATTTATAAAACCTCTAAATTTTATTTAATAATCTTAAATAATCTTAAATTTAAGTATATTAAAAATCAGATTAGAAGATTTAAATTGAATTAAATTTTAGTTCTATAAACATATTAATTATATTGGTATTATAATCTAAAAAATTGTAAATAAAATAATATAATAATAATAAGTTTTTTTTAATAAAAAAAGAAAAAATTTTAATATATATAAAGTGTTTATTAAAAAATTCAAAAATTATTAATTTTAAATTAAATATTAAAAATATGTTAAATTTACTTAAAAAATATGAAAAATTTTATTTTTAATATATAATATAATTTTTTTTTTTAATAATTTCTTTTTTTTTATTATAAAATATTTATATTTATATGTAAAATATATTTATGTATAATATATATATATATATAAATTTTAGTATAAATTAATAAATTACTAATTAAATTATATTTTAACAGACATAATTATTTTATTAATAATTTCTAATAAATGTCAAATTGATGTAATTAATTTTGATATCATCAAAATTAATTAGTATCTAAATATATTATAGATGTTTGCTGAAACTTTTTCAAAATAATTTTGATATATCCTTTTTTATATTTTTAAATAGTTTTAACAGTTTTAACTTTTATTATATCAAAAGAATTTTATTGTATTCCTTATTATGATTTTAATATAATTTTATCTAAATTTCAACTGTTATTAAGGGTTTTCATTCCTTATCTATAAAGTATATATATAGATATTAATTTTTAATATATATATTTTACATAATATAAATATGTATAAATTATTATAAACAAAAGTAATTAAAAATTATAAAAAGATAATTTTATATAAAAATTAATATAATATCTTATATTAATAATAAATTTATCAATTTATATATATAATTTTAATTCATATTAAATAATATTATTCTTCTTCTTTTAGAATAATCTTTATATATTATTTTATTAAAAATAATTCTATTTAATTTGTAATTTTAAAATTAATATTAATTAAAATATTTTTAATAAACTATAATTTTTTATTTAAAATTTTGAAAATAAA